TAGTATATTTGACTAATAGTTGCATTACAACTACAGAGAGCAATCATAAAAAGAGTATACAACTAACCACTTATATAACTTTAGTTATTGTCTAATTTAAATAGTCTACTGAAGGTTTTATACTAGCTGTCATATCTGAAACCTGCTTGTAAGTTCCCTATTTAATCATCCTAGTTTCTGTATTCACCTATCTATCTCTACTTATTAATAATCCTAGTTGATGCTAGTAAAAATATATCATGATTACTAAGTCTTTAAAGCAGTTTTTTGGAACCTTTGATCTTATACTAACCTTTCAGAATCTTCTATATCCTATTTTTATAGCTAACCTAGTATTACTATAGTTAAGACCAATACTGGCAGTTAGAATGTGCCATTAAATCATTATGCCTTTATAGAGTTTATCTTAACTCTAGTACTAACTTCACAACATATTATTAGTATTTTGATATTTAATTTAAGTTCCACCAAACTGCTATTTCAGATAGTCTGAAAAGGTAGATCAAAACTATATATTACTGGTTTATATATTTGCTAGCATATACTCTTTTTTTCTGAAATTTTGAAATTCTGATAGCCTGATTGGTTTATCTGGTTTCTCCTCAAAGACTGACACATTTGCTCAGTTTCATAAGTTCTAACTCTATTTCATAAGTTTAGTTTTTACAATAACACCATTAAAAGTTTGAATTACCTCTTTATTTAGGTCTTCCAAGTAGGTCTCTGTCTTCTTTCATTTGGTTCTTATAATTTATATGGCCATGAGGACTTATTGTAAGTTTGCACTACCCAGTACTAGTTTGCATTTCTTTATATAACCATAGACCTTGTCTCAAAGGACAATGTCATGTGACTATTACACAAATGCTATATAATCTGTCAGTTATACTAATGTGACACAGATAACAGATATCTTATTCCAACTAATTGCGAAAGACTTTAACTGTAATACAGGAAGGATTTTTAAATTTTTTATCAACATTAGAATTTGAACTCTGAACTTGCCACTAGAAGGTTGACAACCTAACTACTTCAACAAATATTCTAATTCAATCATTAGTAACAGTTGTTATAATATAAATATTATATAGATAATTATCTAAATTTTTTTATCAATAAAATTTAAATATTCAACCTACTATTTAAAGGGTTGACAATCTAACTAATTTACTAGATTACTATATTTCTAATTTAGTTTATCTCTTTTAAAAGGTCAATATATAAAATTATCAAAATTATTATCAATATTTATTTCAAAATAGAATTGTTAATAACATAAATTGAAAACAATATAATATATAAACATGACTTATATATATGTCTTGATTTATTAAAAAAACTTATAAAATACTGTTTTAAATTAATTAATATTTTATATCAATTTTTTACATTTAAGTTAAAGTTTCTTCTGTATAGTTTTTAATAAATATTCTAAATAGAAAAATAATAAAACTGTTTTTATTTAATATAATTTATAATTTTTAAAAATTTAACAAACTTATAATTGTAATTATTTAATAGTTATAAGATGTAAATCTTATTTTTTTTCTTTATTTATCTTTTTTTTTTATTTCTTATTTTATATTTTCTATTATTTATTTTTATACTTTTGTATTTTTTTTTTATATAAGTTTTTTTTAATTTTTTTTTTACTTTTTAGAAAAAGATATTATTGAATTAATGATACTCTATTGTAAAATGATGATCAGATATAATTCTAAATTACTTTTGTTAGAGTTTGGTTTTATACAAATAGATTGCTTATAGAATTCATAAAAGTAACTATGAAAACAAATTCACAATAATTAAAAATTTTATTTATTTAATTAGTAGATCTTGTTTGTAAAAATTACCAACATCTTAAAATCTATTTAAATAATATAAAAAGGTTTATATAAAATAACTTCTGATTGGTCAGTCACTTACAACTGTATTTATATACTTAAATACTTTTAAAAATTAAAATAAATGCTAACAGTCACTATGCAAAATAATCACAAATAACTGATCTACCTTTGTGATGAAAAATTAATGCTTCTCATTTTTCAACTCTAACTTACTTGGTGACAGACTATCTTGCCTTGCAAGCTACAAATGTTTCTTGCAAGAAAGTATTGTCTGTTGCAAAGAACACTATTGATATTACCAGAAATCTTCTTCTTGATAAAATAGTAAGAACTTTATTATCTTGAAAAGCTGGTTAGAATCAGAAATATTTGTTATGCATCTTTTTGTTCAAATACAGAAGTTTGCTAAAGCAGAATTAATTTTAGTTAAGGTAATAAAGTTTATCAGTTTTATCGTTATCATTATCGATATGATATCTTCTTGATTTTGGTGATTAAAGACTCAAGTCTGTGTTTAATACTGACTCGACGGATAAGTTTGAGCAGATCATTTAACATCCCTACTTGCGAGCATTATATTTCATTCAAGCCGGCATTATGTAAGTTGACTAGAATTATACCAGCTAGTCCGAATTATAAAAATTACTGTACACTGCGCACCCTCAAAATTCTGCACCGTGGTTAAAAATTGGGGATCTTTGTTAAATCACCCTCCGAGACATTGCTACAAACAGATATGGATTTCCAGAATTTTCAAAGCCCGCTCTAATCGGATTTGCAATTTTTACTAATCAGAATTTCCTGATTTTTCGATTTCCCGAATAGATATATGGAAATCGTTTTTCATACCCTTTTGAAAACAGCTGCGATTATGATTTTCATAATCAACTTATTTTTAGAAAAAAATCTTAGCAAAGATCCAAAATGGGGAATGGACTAGGAAAACCGTACTTGAAAGCAAGTTTCAAACGGTGGTTTCCTAGTTCATTACCCAAATGATTATGCCGGAAAATAATAGCCAGGATAAATATGCGTTGGGGATTTCCAGGACCCGATCAAAATTTGAACTTAGAAATATTTCTTGCCTATTTACCCTATTTATCATATAAAAAACATGTACCATCGCTATATGCAAAATTTTATTTTTAAGAATTTTTACTTAGAAGTCGAAAGCAAATTATAATAAAATTTTGCGTTAGCTGCGTTTTAATGGTCTTTTTTGATGTTTTATTGTTTTATAACATGAAAATCCTGGGAACATAAGTATACCAGACCTCGAACAATATATTTAAAAGTTATCATTATTTTAGCTTTATCATAAACTTTTTACAATTTTATTAGAGCCAATTAATCTTATTTGTATATTGATATAAACAAATAAAAATATGTACTTTTTTCATACGTAACTTCATATAAGGTCACTTAAGGGACGCGTATAGTAACATTTGAAAACACCCAGTATATTGTTTGGGGTCGTCTTGGGTATGGGTGGTGGAAGATAAAAAAATTCCGGACGTAATCGGGTCGACAGGGTCGGAATTAACCAATTTTGCTTAACATTAACGTTAAAATCATCTATGATAATCTTCATAAACGTAGTTGCTTAATGCCGCCGGGGAAGTATACTGTATGTAAAGATGGCAAAAAAAAAAAGATTTAAATCAGATGATATTTATTATTTAAATATGTCTAAATGTCGCATACAAATATTCAGACCGTAAATGTCACCTGACTTAAATCATTCTCTAAGTATATCGGAAATATCAACATTGTTACTGTTAACTAGGGTTGTTAATAGAGCACTCCGTTGACTTCATTTTAATAGTAATACTCCAGAGTATTACTAGTAAAATGGGGTCAACGGAGTGCTCCATTAATAACCCTATTGTTAACGTTAATCCTAGTATTCGTACTAGTTCGTACTAGTATTCTTTATAAATAATATATTCTTTCAACTTTAAACTCCTTCGAACTACAATGCTTAAAAAACTAAATTCGATGAAAAAAAAACATTTCGTTTATGATGCAATATTAGATATCTTGCTATAGGAAAGCCACATGGTGACTTTTATCCTTTAAAATCTATTTATACCTTGTTTCGATGTCAATGGATTAGAAAGATGATCATTCAGAACAAAGCGAATCGATCCTGTGCTGCTGCGGATTTATTAAATCAACCTTTGGCGGAAAATGTTTAAGAGTAGCAATTGATAGGGAATATAATCGTAACAAGAGATATTTCTGAGGGCTTTGCTTGATGAGGCTGTTATATGCAATGAGCTTACTGTATGCATATATTAATTGATTGTTTTTATACGGCATTCCCTTATAATAACAATCACTTTAACCCATCCGACGTTAACTTTTAACAATAAAGCGTAGCCACATGAAAGTGGTCTTAAATTTCCTGTTCAAACTTTCAAAATCATCTTTGCATTGCAATACACGCGAATGATGCGACATATAAACAATGATAAACTAATAACGATAACGATGAAAGCTATGTACGATGGGTACGATCGACCGAACCGTCTCTAAAACAATTAACGGAACAGATCCAGATCTAGAAAATCGACCTTCACTTTTTCAATATCGACGAGATGAAATTTTTTTTTCTTTTTTTTTTGTTGGTGATGTGAGATTTTCATAAAATCAGCTGACGGTATTTGTTCTGGCTCTGACCTTGGCTACTAACTTGTTTGATTGCCATTAATGTACCGGGCGGGAACACGGAAAAGTGAGGCGTGCCCGTTTAACAAAATCTATATCTGTCATTAATGTATGATTTCGTTGTAAATGAAAGGGCGTGGTTTCCGTATTCGTTAGCCACAAATGGAAATTAAATGGAGGGACAATATTAAGTTGATGATAAATTATAAAAAGCCCCTGTTCTTTCAAGCTGAGATATAATGTTGGGGCTTTGAGCTTTGTTTTTTTTTTTCTCTTTTTTTTTGTACTCCGATTATTATTAAAAGTTTCGCAAGTGAAATTAATTAAAATTTCGCGTGTAATTAATGTTATGGTAATTAATGATTTGGAAGTGTACGGCTCGTTTCTCAATAAAAATTTTTTGATGATATAGAAATTTCGTTAGGCAAAACACGAGATCATATGCGTACAATTCAGCACACATTTTATTGTAATTCAACGTAAATGATAACTTCGACGATACATAATCCAGTTCGCACTTCAGTGGATTCAAAGCCGGGTAAGAACGGTGCAAAACATTTTGAAAATAAACCACGTCGAAAATCTACATCAGATGTTGGAACGCAAACAAATCTTAAACCAACGATAGAAGAATCGTCGACGATATGTGATAAAGAAGGATGTTTAGCAGCATGTAAATCTTTTTTTCAACGGTGTAAACGATTATTGAATATTCTCGTATATCTTCGATTTGCTTTGGTGTTAACTTTGTACACCCTGATTTTCGTGGATGTTATTCATTTAATTGCAAAAATTCCTAAAGATTTTTGGGTCGAATGCCTATTACAGGTGATGATGCGATACAAATGATCGAGTATGAACTCAATAGTTTTTTAATTTGAAATATTAAACGTGTGTAGGTTATAAATGCCGGGTTTACTATTTTCACATTATTCTCACATCCAAAAAGAATTGCCAATTTTGTGAGAGCAATTAAGATATATAAAGCAAGCCGAAAGTGGCATCGACAACTTGGTGATGAATACCCCCTTGATATTAAACGGGCGCAAAAACGTGTGAATAAAGATTATGAATGGTATATATTTGAAGGAGATAAAGCATTTATTTGTCCACCGGGAAAACTGTTGATAATTCTCACCTTCTGGAATATAGGTAGTTTAGCACAATATGGTATTTGCGGTAAGTTTTTATTTCTGATTTTTACGATAATTATCATAGTTTATATATATATATTTGAATGAATAAGTGAATAGTAATTTGAATAATCATGATTATTATTGGAATCATTTCCTAATAGCCGTCCTATGGTCCACACAACAATATAGACCTATAGTAATATATCTAATATTGGATATCGTTGCTTTGGTATGTGAAATTGTACCAATCCCTTTAGTGGTCGTACAATCAAAACGTGCGAGGTTGGCACAACGTTTTGCATCCTTTGAACCTGGTCAACGACGATTATTAAGTCCTAGGTACCGTAGATCTATAGCTTTATAGTTTTTGATCGAAATGCTTGTATTAGATATTGTGGGAGAATTTTATTGCAACATGAGGGGTTTTTTTTCTTGTACTTTTATCTAATATCTTCGCATAGGCTGTTAAATGATTGCAATCGATTCTCTTGAAACTTCAGGATCTGAAAAATGTACCGATAAAACCGATAATACATTATATACTATGTTTTATATTTCTATTTGTTTTTTTTTCATTATCATTTGGTAATTTAATCTGAAACTAAGAATCAATGTAAATCAAATATATATAATTACAATAATAAAAAAAAAAGCTTTAAACATTTTTATTACACGTGATAACAGTACCTAATTTTAGAGATGCTAATAACTCAACGATTTAGTATTTTTAAGTCAATAATTATTTTATCCAACTTAGTAGCAGCTATGCTGATTAAATAAAATTTTAAAACTCAAAGTTCAGTGTCATAATATAGTATGTAAAAGATATACTCATGTGATCGGCCAAGAGTCGACTTGAGTCGACTCAGGGGTAAAAGTCGAGTCAAAGTTGATTGAGTCGTTAGCATCCCTACCTAATTTTAATGAAGCTTTTACTTTACTTCTTGATATTTTTTAGTATGTATAAACTCTGGTTTGTATAATAAGATGATAAATCTAGATGTCAACTATGTTAATTCTAAACAAGGCATATTTCAATGATTCATTCTTCGTTTTAACCCTTTATACATTTGCCTATGAAATTACTTCTTGATTAAAACTCGATTTTGTAATAATCCTGATTTGGTTATTATGTGACCGGAAAGTCGATCCTACGTGGCAAAAAGAAATATTATTGGATAATTCCGTGTTGTCACACAAAATTATTTATCTGGTATATAGCTGTAGTGATAAAAAAAAATTTATATGGTGCGAGCGACTTGATCACATCATATAATTTGAAATACAAAAAAAAAATATTTCAAATATACAATTACGAAAAATACGTACATTACAAAGTAGATTTTAATAAAAACTAGGAATCAGGAACCAATGTAAGTCCGGAGCATGAAGAATAGGATTAATAGTATCTGTATTAATTATTCCAGGAGAGAACGTCCCAAATATGGGGGCCGTGTCCAGTCATATGTTTTTGATTTTTAATTAAAGTTAGGGTTTGGGGTTAGGGTTAGGGCATATCTTATATTAAAATTGTCCTCCCAAAATTTTTTATTAATACGTATACCGAAATGGGTAAGACTGTTGTTTCTTGTATTTTTTGCGATGTTCACTTTTTTTTCGCAGGCAGTGCACAAAATTGTGACATGGATGTGTCCTGATTTTTTCCCGATGATCTTTTTATTAAACGGAATTTGGAATTCCTGGCCGGAAATATACATATATAATATATTTTATTAATAGTTCATAGTTTATTATATTAATGAGTGCTGCAAAAGGAAAACCTGTAATTGTGAGTTTTCCGAAATTTTATAGAAATGGACTTATCCAGTGTTGGGTTGACCAGACCAATTCGAACATTTGACCAACGACCAGTCCGGTCAAGTATCTTTGACATTAGTCAAGTTGGTCAAATGGTCTAGTTATAAGAACAACTTGACCAATTAGGCAATTTAACTATAATCAAATTTGCTTGATTGGTCTGATTTGTTAATTTGGTTCATATTGCTAGACCTAGTTTGACCAGAAACCTTTTGACCAATGACCAGCAAATTTATAGTCGACTGCTAATTTGGCCAACACTGGACTTATCAGATACATTGGTTGTACACAGCCTAGAGACGATGTTAAAATTAGAATATTGCATATCGATATAGTTACCAGTACATATATGGTTTGCTGAAAAAAATTATACTGATTAGAAATAATTGCAATTATTAACCAAAATTAGTAATTTATATAGCTACCAGTTATTTAAAAAATTTAATTATTATTATTAGCATGCAAATAAATATTTATTCCTTAATCTGTTTAGCAGGAAAATTTGCCTATTAAAGTTTTAAAAAATTAAAAATTTTGAATAAAATTTCAAATATTAATTTTAATTATATATTTTTTATTTAAAAAATATAATTAGGGTGTGATGACTTAGTGAAGTGGATAAGTTGTTATATCTCAAAGTGGTAGGTTGTGAGTTCAAAACCTACTAATGGCAAAATTTGGATAATCACCTATGTAATATATAGATGGTATTATGGTGATAGCATTCTGTTGATCAGTTGGAATAGGATAACTGTAACTATGGTTGCACCAATATGACTGGCAGGTTTGAGGCATTTGTGTAATCTGTTATATAGAAGAATGCAAACCGGTACTGGATAGTGCAAATCTAAAATAAGGTCTTGATGTTATGTAAATTTGTAGAACTGAGAAACCAGAGCCTATTTGAAAATTCTAAGAAGAGAGGTAACACAGATCTTTAATAGTATTACTGTAAAGGTTAGATCTAGAAAATAAATATTAATGTAAAGGATTCAGATAGACAAGAATTTCAAGTAAAGAGTATCACCAATCAGACCATCAGATTTCAAACCAAAGAAAAAGGATATTGGGTCAGCCATAATATACCAAGAACAGATCATAGTTCTTTAGAGTTATCTGGATTGGAAGTCTGAGTTCAAAGCAGAGATATACTAAAAGTACTAGGAATATGCTGTAAAGTTAATATTGGAGTCTGGGTAAACTCCATAAGAATAGTTTATATTAGTGTTCTAAAAGTAGATAGATAGTTAACAATAAGTGACCTATTGCACTTTACTGACAGGTGATATATTCTAAAATATATAATAGCCTAGGAACTAGTATAAAAAGGGTAGGTAACTATACTACTCAGATGGTATATCAGTTAGGTATATACAAAAGATAAGTTGGAGATTCCAATATGATAAGACAAATGATCAAAGAGTTTAAATAAATAATCTTCTAGTAGGTTATAGATATGACATCTAATTTAGAACCTTAGAGTGAACTACTTAAATAGGCAATCAAAAGTTGCACACATGATTAGTTGTATTCTTATCTCTATAAAAATAGTTGTAATAACTAATCTGATATAAGTCAATAAAGTATTACTACAAGGATAGCCTTTAACAAAAAAAAAATATATATATATATATAATTTAAGATATATTTTATTAATTTTATTAAAAAATTTTTAAAAATTATTAAAAAAATTCAAAACCTACTAATGGTGAAATTTAGATAATTATTTATATAATATATAGACAGTATTATAGTAATAACATTTTGTCAATTAGTTAGAATAAGATACTTATAACTATAATTATATTAGCATAACTGGCAGGTTATAAGGCATTTGTATAACCTTAATTATATAAAAGAATGCAAACTAGTACCAATAATACAAATCTAAAATAAATTCTTATAACTATATAAATCTATAGAATTAAGAAAAACCAAAACTCATTTGAAAAATTTAAATAAAAAGATAATACAGATCTTTAACAATACTATTGTAAAAACTAAATCTAGAAAACAGATACCAATATAGAGAAATTGAGTAGACAAGAACCTTACAATTAGGGGCCTGCAAATTACCTATTTTTGAGGCCTGACCTGGCCCGCAATTAGGGTTAAAAATTTTTTTTAGGCCTGGTCTGGTCTGCATTTAGGGTTATTATTTTTTTGCCAGCCTGGCCTAGCCTACATATATTAAATTTTTTCTTCAGCCCAGCCCAGTCCACAAAAATTTCTTATATAATTTTACAAATTTTTAGGCCTACACTGGTCTGCAATTATAAAGTTTTGCAAATTTTTCAGCCTGGCCTGGTCCACAATTATAAAATTTTGCTTTAGGCCTAGGCTGTGAGACCCAATGCAGGTCTCTTCTTACAGTTCTACTAGACTATTTGAATTAGAAGTTTAAAAACAAAACAAGAATATACTAAAAATACTAGAGATATATATTAGCAAAATTATAGATACGAAATATTTTGAAAAATTTTACATAGCACAAAAATTTGAAAATAATATAAAAGAAATTTTAAAATTTTTGCAAAATGCAAAATATTTCGAAATATTGCAAAATAAATTTCAAAATTATTGCATTATGAAAAAATTTTCATAATATTGTGAAAAAATTTTTGAAATTATTCCACAGCAAAAATATTTTGAAATATAGCAAAAAAATATTTAAACTATGAAAGACAAAATAATGAAAAATAAATAGAAATTATTTTGAAGAATGCAAAAATATTTCAAAATATTTTGAAATAATTTAAAATATTTCAAAATTCATTAAAATAAAAAAATAATAATAAAATTAATATTTAATCATAATATAATAAAATTAATTTTAAATAAAATTTTAACTAATAGCAGAAAGTTTACTAATATAAATTATTTAATAAAGTAAATCTCTAAGTTGATAATAATATAGTATATTTATTTTAAATAATTTTTATCATTACTATATACATATGCAATAATATTATAATATGTTGAAATAATTCAAAATATTGTAAAAATTTTTTAAAAATTGTGAATATAAAATAAATAAAAAAAGAATAAGAGAAATAAATCAATTGACAAATTTTTAAAAAGTTCACATACTTGCGAAAATTTTTAATAAAATCAAACTATTATAACACACAAAAGCACTACATTAAAGTTTATTTAAATTGTAAAAAATATATTCAAATTTGATAAAATAACTACTAAAATTTCTAGAATATTTTGATAAATTTTAATATATTTGCATACTTTTAAAAATTTTTGAATATCTTAATGATAATTTAAAAAGATTTAAAATATTTTGAAATATTATAAATTAATTTAAAGTATTAAAAAATATTGCTAAATTCTATATTTGAAATCTTTTGCATTATTTGCTACTTATTAATTTAATAATATATTATTGTTAAACAATAAATTAGCTATAATTATTTATCATATTATAATTTTTTTATTATTAATTAAAATATTTGTATTAAATGATTAATTGCATAAAAATATATATTAAAAATTAAAAGCCATATTTAAAAACAATAAATGATGCAAGTATGCATA